AAATATGTGTCTACACAACCGTCTACACAGCAGTGTTCATTTAAATCCAAACATGCTCTTAAAGATAAGTTTGGCTTTCCGTGCAGAAGAAATAATCCGATCCAGTCATGTAACAAATCTAACCTGAAATAGCCCCACACGTTGTGTGACGTGTTGTTAACTGTGTATTTCTTCTTGTGAGATAATGTGTTTTTGTAGTTAGAGTACGATGAGCTTACTTGTAGATGCTTAAGTGAAGTGCTTCAATTAAAAAAACTCATTTGAAAGCTTTTCTTTTTAGATTAGAATTTCAGAATTTAAAGACAAAACATTAGCACTGGTGTCTGCCTTAGTCCAGTTTAACATTGGTGTCAGTATACGAAAAAAAAATTGCCATATAAATAACTGCAGTTATGAATTTAATACTGTTCATTGCACACAGCTTTAAGTACAAGTCTGAAGTGGCTAACTGCTCTCCTGCTTACTAGCTGCAGATGACTACAAAAACAGCTCAAGCTCAAATAAACAAACATTACTCACTGCTGCCCTCTAAAGGTGTTACAGCACCTGTCAGAAGACAGAACTTTTGCTTTCATAAGACCTGTGACGTGTCTTCAAATGTCTTTTCAGCATTATTTTCAAGCATTTGCCTCAACCATACTGATGAAAAAGCAGACAATTCATATTCTGTTTGTTGCAATGAAAAAATATAATTATGAAATATAACAACTTTGGAAATTAAATGCCATCTCAAATAATTGTTTACTGACTGTTATATATGTGACGGGCCTAATCCAAGTCAAGAACCATTTTATTTTTAAGAGTGTGGAAACAAATTAGACAGGAATGTGTATGATTTACAAAACTGGAAGCCAACTAGATTTTCATCTTTCTCAGGTGAGCAAGCAGGTCAACATTTATAAAAGTGTTGTTATTGTGTTCAAATGCTGCTTTTTAATTTATAATTCAGCTATTTTCGACTTGTTTTCAGTTGATATAAAGTAAGCTTCAGCTGTGCTGTCCATTTTATCTTGGCACAGCCATCTTTATAGAGAGGTATGAACTGTTTTTACAGCACACAATACTCACCCCCTCCTTTTTGTCCCTCATTGCTCACTAGCAGCGCAACACAGAATAACAAAACTTCACACACAGAGAGCCAACAGTGCTCTAGTTAATCTGACAGCAAAGTTATGGTCAAGAAAAGGTATTTGGGGCTCCCGAGTGGCGCAACCGTCTAAGCGTTGGCCCTATCATCAGGAGATCGCGAGTTCGATCCCTGGTGATGCTACAGTCATCCGTAGCCGGGAGTCCAAGAGAGCACAACTGGCCTCGCTCTCTCTGGGTGGGTAGGATGGCCCCTCCTTCTCCCCCCATCACTCAGCGCGATGCTAGTCAGCGCAGGCGTCTGTTAGCTGACGTGGCAGAACTGGCGGTTGGCGCTTTCCTCCGAGCGCGTTCGGCTGTCCAGTGACGTTGCGTGAGCGGCAGCTCGAAAAGAAGCGGTGGTTGGCTTCACGGGTCTCGGAGGAAGCCTGTGTTAGCCTTCACCCTCCTAGCGTTGATAGCATCGTGTGACTGGGGGAGTCCTAACTAGCGGGTGGAATTGGAGACGACTAAATTGGGGAGAAAATCGGGTAAAAATTAAAAGAAAAGGTATTTGATTTGTATTAGACACGTATAACCTTTGGCCCCATTTACACCTAGCGTTAACCTACATCCTGCGTGATCTGACAGGGGAACAGCTATAAGTACAGGTGTGAACAGGGTCCAGTGTGACCCAATCACTCCAGCTACCTTCAAAGATGGTCAGATATGCATAAGGCCACATAAATTTTGTAGTCTGAATGCCAGAGTATCTCTATGCATCTCCAACATCAAAGGGCCACCAAAGGTCATCATAGCAGAGACAAATGCAGCTGCACGAGACTGACATAGTAAATGTGTGTGGTATCCAGTGGAGTAGTTACGCACATTATTACTGACTTTTAGTATATTACTCATTATTACACACTTATCCTCACATATTTTTATTGCAATACCATATTCTATGACGCCTCACAAGTCAGAGAGAAGAAAACAATCACATGTGATTTTCATATAACATATTGTGATTGCTCAATTCCATGATTACTAAACAATCTTGGTAGGTTTTTTTAGGATTCACCAGCAGTCAGTCATAGACAAGCTGATGTGGTTATCGATTATAATTTATGATTTTATCTTTTGACCATGTGTGCTGGTGCAAATTTCTAGAATACTCAGTCACTCACGAAATCCAATCACAAGCATTTACATTTGTGACGCACAGAGATGGCAGGTGTAAATGCCTATACATCCTGCTGTCCATTTGTGATCAGATCACCAGAGACAGATGCCAAAACCACCTTCTAGAAGAAGGAAGTGACAGTAATGAGTTTAAATCTACATTTATGCCTGGAGGCACTATTCCATATGTTGAACTAACTCTTCAGCTGTCTGTGAGTGGGTGCATTCGGCTCTGATGTTTCCTTCATTTCTTTAGTTTCAACTTTATTTCCAGGGACTGGCTGATCACTGATTATCAGTTTAGTGTAATCACATATTTATGAACAGTCAACTGTAGGCTGTTTTGTATACTGTATACATAATTTATTTGCCAGCAGATAGAATAGTAAGCTGAAAAGAGAGCTATATTAATTCATTGTTACTTGTAAAGCGAGTGTTCGTACGCAAGAGCTTTCTTTGACTACAAATGCTTGTCTTGGAAACCAGGATGCGTAAAATACTGAGACCTCAGCCAAGCCAGACTACTGTTCCACTGTTGACCAAAAACCACCTCTGCAGCTTTGAGTATTGTAAAGACATTCCCCATTTTTAAAAAACTAATTGGAATATTTACTTATGATTTCACTTTCTAGTCCTGCTATGTGGCTTTCCCTAGTAATCATACTATGCGGAGAGATTCACTTGAAATTTGTAAAATTAATATAAAATTAGACAAACAAGAGGGCAACAGACAAAACAAAATAAGGTGGGAAAATGCAAAAAGTGATAGCAGTCACAAGCACAAGCACACAATACAGTGCGAAAGTTGGAGACGACCGTTCATTTATTTAATTTCCCATTCAAATGGCTGAAGAACATCTTTTTCATATTTCTACAAATATTGCCTAAGGAAGGACATATTCGAAGAATAATAGCAGAGTTTCCACTACAGTTTAAAAAACGATTAAAAGATAGAGAAGGTGGGACTAACAATAGTGCAAGCCCTGACAGACCACTAAAACTCCAATAAAGTGCCACTCTTGCTTTAAATCTGAAAAAAATACAAAGGTATTTCTGTTCATCCTTCCACTGTGAGAAGACAACTTAACACTATGGGTCTGAAAGGATGTGCAGCTGTCAAGAAGCCATTACTGAGAAAAGGAAATAGATAAAAAGAAGACATTTTACAAATCAAACAAAGAAGCTGCTGGTGACCGCAAAACAACAGACTGACCACTCCAGACCTAATCAGTGAATGTGTTTGAGATTACTTGAATCATTAAAAGTAGAAAATGCAACCAACTTTTAAGACTGAACTTTGGATGTGTGAAAAAATGTCTCTGCAGATTTCTTTGAAAAACTGAAAGTCTCCTGAAAAGAACAGAAGCTGTAATTAAAGACAAAATGCTAAAAAGTTAATATTGTATTTAATTTTGTGAAATATATGTTTTCTACTTTTTTCCTGGCACTGAAAGATAAATAACCTGATGGATGATTTGACTGGAAGTTAAATCAAGGGTGGCTTGTGACTTTTGGACAGTACTTCATGGGTATCTTCTTCAGTATTATTCTAAAAAGTGAAAAATAGTAAAAATGAGCACAACTCTTCTATGAATAGGCATGTAAACTGTTGAGTGGTTCACTGTGTTTTATATAAACTATATACAAAAACATTGCTTATTTTCTTCCTTTAGCATTAAATATCCTGATAATCAATAAAAGCTGATTCTACTCATCAGCTAATAAGCTGTTTTGAGTGGGTTAGAGCAGAGAAAACTCAAAAATGCGGGATTGAAAACCACTGTCATAATACTTGTCGGTGGTTCTTCAAAGCCCACGTTACCTTGTTACACCAAGTTAAACAGTTTTGGGCCTTGGCTTTGTGCTTGCGGAGCTCTCACACCCAAACTCAAAAAAAAAAAAACTGACTCAGTTTACACCTGCCATTGCTGAAGTGTGTCACCAACTATTTTTTTTCATGAGGCCGGGAAATGGACTAAACAGCTACAATATTCTCCTAGATATATTAGGCAAATCAGCAATTCAGACATTTGATTATTTTTGCAATCTGTTAGATGTCTCACATTGCTTTCAAAACTCATTAACATGATGACATTTATAACAATCATACTGCTAGTTAATATTAACATTAATAAGAAGGAGGCAAGAATATGGTTTTATAATTGAGATTTAGAAAATAATTTCTAAATATGGCTTAGTCCTCCTGCATCTGTTCACCGGTAGACAATTTGCCCTTTCCCAGACAGATCCAAATGGCCAGGAAAATGTATGATCAATTAATTATTCACACCAAAGTCTAAATTGGCACCAGTGTCTTTGAAGCAGCCGAGTATGTGTCAAGGAGTGTTTGTATTCATAAAGTATGCAGTATGGGGAATGCTGTATTATTTAGGCAGATCTGAAACCTCAACAAGGATTACACTTTTAATTACACTTTTGTGTTGCTATATTTGCTGTCAAGCACTGAGCTGCATTTCTGATGTAACGCCACAGAAGCCCCATTTCATCCTGCTTTGCTGCAGCTCTTTAGCAGCTATTCTGCATCATTAGAGAGATGGAACCAGAGTATACTGAGTCTGAATGCAGGTCGCTCTGTGTCAACCACGGCTTCCACTGCTAAACAGAAGGGTTAAAAAAAGCTTTCAGCTGCCAAGACGTTGTGAGCTGAGGAATAGACAAAACTAGGCCATACATGCTAGAGCTGTAATCACAGCTGTTTTGCTCACCATACTCTCTTTGTCTTTCCCTCTCAGGAGTGATGGTCAGTAAGGAGGCAGGCCGCTGTGCCCTGTCGAACTCTGAGTCGGACTCGGAGTGTGCAGGTCCGACCCTGGGAGAAGACGGTGGCGGGCGTGGGGACACAGTACGCAAGCGGAACAAGGCCTTGCAGGTCCGCTTCAAGGACATCTGTGAGGCCCAGAATGAGGCAGCTCGTCTAGCCCGAGGCACCAGGGGGCGCTCCGTCTCGTGCAAGGTTGTGCACAGGAGGTACATGACCATGCCGGCGCGCCGATCCATCCCCAATGTAACCAAGAGCACTGCGGTGCAAACCTCACCGGACCTGAAGAAGCGCTATCAGACCTTCCCCTTTGAGCGTAAGAAGGGGCACACTATCAAACACACGGCTCTGGTGGAGAACTACCAGGGCCAGAACAATGGGTTCTTGAGCGATGTAAAAGGTACGGAAGAGGAAAGGCCTTGCGGGGGCAGGGTACAAAAGACTCGGGTACTTTTGCACAGTATGCCTCCATGCAGTGATGTGCAAGACTTGTGTCCTGGGTCTGATTGCCCAGATAGTGATCTCTGCCCTGATCCCTCGTGTCGAGGTAGGGATGCAACCACAAACTCTGACCAGATAGATTCAAGGAAAGAGGTCAGTTCCCAAGGATCGAAGCACAATGAAGGTGAGGTGGGGGCAGGACAAGAGCGCAACTGCGCCAAGAGCTCCTCCTCCACTTCCTCGACACAACCTCTGCAGGACAGGGGTGGTACTTCGAAGGTCACTGGCCCCATTGCATGGACGTCTTTGACGCAAGTGGAATGTCTGGAAAGTCCCTCTGTGCGGTGCAAGCGCAAGAAAGAGACTGCGCAGTTCAACGGTCTGCAGTCACAGACCATCCCACATGCGGCCAGTTGTTCATCCCAGGAGGCCACCCAGGCTCACTACCACGGCAGCCATGCCTTTGGTAGCACAGCTACCCGGGAAGACGTGGCAGGGCAAGGGTATGGGCAGGTGATTCCACTTCCTGGGGCAGAAGGGGACGTGAAAGCAAGGCTGCAGGCCATGGAGACTCTAATCAGCTCCAGCCAGGAGACCATCAAAGTGCTGCTAGGGGTCATTCAGGAGCTTGAGAAAGGAGAGGCGCAGCGGGAAGGGTGAGTCACACTCTATGTATAAACACTTTAATGTATAGGTTGCACAATCGTTGGATCACTGAGGTTTTCTTTCAGTTGTCTCAGTGCAAGGCTCAATATCCTTGGAGAGTTAGAGATCAAAAGCTGGTGATTATGTGAACAGCTTGTGCACAGGACAGTGCATGAGCTTCTGTGGTAATAACATTTTGTGAAACAGTGTTATTCAGTTTCAGTCCTGAGTGACCTTGCACCACACAGTTTGGTGTATTCCCTGCTCCACCAACTGATTTAACTCATCTGTCACCTCAACATGACTTGAATCAGGTGTATAAAAGCAGGGAAACAAACTTTGCAATTCAGGCTTCCTCCAGGATCAATACTGAGAATCACTATTTAATATTAAAAAAAGGAAAAGGAAAATCAAATCTATTTTTCAGTTGTTATAAAAAATTAGCTTAGTTATCTAACTTATTGTAAACAACTAAATTGATTAGTTTTTTGACAAATCTCTCTGGATGGCGGGGAGATGCAGAGTATGAAGAGGAAGTATGGGATGGCAATAAATTCCTTTCCACTTGACTGGATACATCTCAAGATTTCACGGTCATGAAGCATTCATTCTGCTAATATCACGCAACTTAAAGTCTACCACCCACATTTACAACTGCCCTCTCTCATTTTTCTGCCAATATTTTTCTTAATTCCCATTATCTCAAAAACGCTAGGATTTGGTATTAGGTCGAGGCTGATAATAGGATTAAGCCAAAAGGCCCAGAATGATTCTTCAGGTGTTTCAAATCAATGGCAGCAGTTTGGACAACTCAATGTGAAGTGGCCACCTGCTACTTCTCCCTCAGTGAACGCTCCTTCACAGGCATGTAACCAACCTTCACGTAACGTCTGCTCGCGAATGCCAAGCCCTGGGGCAGTGGCGGCTGGGGAAAATGTTCTAGGTGCAGCACATGATGAAAAGGTTAGTTTGTAGTTCAAAGATATAAAAGAACACACACATGTATGCACAGTACTGTGCAAAGTCAGGGACCATCCTTTATTTATTCTATTTCCAGTCAAAATTAATATAGTATAAAATTTCTCAGAATTAGTGTGTAGAACCTATGTTTATTACAGCTTAATGTTTTCAAAGTTCAGTCTCAGAAGTTGGTTGCTTCTTCGATTCAAGGAATCCCAAACACATTCAGTGATGCTGAGGTCTGGGGTGGTCTGTCCATTGTTCTTATTGACAAAAACTCCTATTTAAAACACAGGGCACATATTCAGGATAGATAATTCAAGACTCTGCTAGGTTCTGCTAGTTCATGACACAAGCCTTGGGCAATAGTCACTTTTCATTTGACTTCGATGTATTTTGGAATTCTAAGACAAACTGTAGACTGATGATTGACAGTGAGAGATATGCAACAATGTAATATCAAACTTATCAATTTTTTTTTTTCCCTGTCAGATTTGGGAGGTAGAGAGGGTGTTGCCCCAGCACCTATACATATACCAGCCACCGCTGCCCTGGGGAGTAAAGAGCATGATACAATGAGTGTCCTTCATGTTTAATAATGCCTCTCCATTAAGCCTGTCGTTCTTGTACAATGAGCTGAAAGTTTGAATACTGCCTGACTCAGCTCTTGGCTAAAGTGGAGGTGACAGTTCAGCGAAAGTCAGTGTGAGCGGATTCTGGAGATACCAGCTGCTATCAGAACTTTGTCAGGCCCGTGACTGAGTTAGACACATGTTTGATGTTCAAATAAGCTTGTGTTGCATATACGTTATGTGCTTGTGTTGTGTTATTGGGTTATATGTAATTGGTAAGAACTATGATAAAGCTAGTCAGACACTGATTTGTTATCGTTATACTATTATGTAATATAATAGATTATATGTATCATCATGCTATACTGTTATATAAAAGATGTCAGCTGGTTTGTTTAGCCTTAAGATCTAAATGGATGTCTTATTTTTCATTGCTGTTATGTAGTATACCCTTTTTTGGACCAAAATTCCTTATTTTGTTACATTAAAAGGAATTTTCACCAAGTTTTCAGAATGTCTGCACAATTCAACTACAGAGAAGAAGTTTTTACAGCGGAGGTGATATGAATTGTCTATAATGTAAACACAACCATTTGACTTCCAATCTAAAATGACCAGGGAACATATAGGTGTCTGAGTTTTATACTGTTGATAATGGTAAAATAGCGGTAAATCCCAAAAATAGGTGTTCTTTGTGGACTTTTTTGCTTTGCAATGTCCTGTACATGCCACTCTATCCATAAATGTGTTTGAAAAATATGTATTAGGCCACAATCTTACAACAAAAATATAGCAAAAACAAAGTTTCATGCATCAGACAGCATGTTCTTGTCCATTTCAAACTTTGAGGTAGCTTTTAAGGGCTTTAAAATCCTTCGGACGCCTGGTTCCTATCACTACCACTGTGAACAACTCAATGACCACTCTGAATCACTGTTAAAATTTTAAGGCTGTAATTACGCAGTAGAGATGAAACGATATTAAAATTTCATATCACGATTATCATGACCAGAATTATCACGATTATCGATATTATCGTGATATTGTTCAAAAGCATTGAAAAGTAAAATAAATAAATAAATACTGATACACAAACTGAAATTCGTTTCACCATTACTATTATTATTACTGTTGTAAAATATTAATATTATTACTGCTATAATTATTATTATTATTATTATTAACAATAATTAGGGATTTCCCTGCATAGAGAATTAAATCTCCACCAACTCTGAGGTGGGTCTTAATGGAAAATTACTACTTCTAAGAAGTGCTGCACTCGGGGGGAATTCTGTCCGAACTGCATTTGCAGCATTATTGTGCCGTTGTGGCGCTGAACCCCTAATCAACACAGTGCACCAGGAAAAACAGCCAAAATCACAGACGAATTGCGTGACCGCGCTGTGAGCTGCAGACAGTGTAGAACTCACACAGTGTGTCTTCACCTGTGGAGCTGCTTTTCTAAAAGCATTTTAAAACTAAAACATAACTTAAAATTGACGCGCATCTGAGCTGCGGCAGAATCTCTGAAACTCTGCTTTTCCCAAAAGCGGCACACAGCGTTTACTCGCGCAAGGTCCCGTCTCAAAGCACACTATCTTCCCTATGTAGTGCACTTCGTGGATCATGAAATAGCAAATCCTTCACCCAAAGAGTGCAAGAAACGTTCGACTAAGTCATCTATAATCAACATTAACAACAGGTTACAAATCCCCTATTTAAAACTCAACTGCTTGTTAATGATAATCGTGTTTGTTTGAACAGTAGCGCACTATGTAGGGGACACTGAGTGATTTGAGACGGTGTTATTCTCAGAAAGTAAACACTGCAAGCAGAAAGGGGAGCTGTGCAGGTTGAACCTCTGCAGCGTCTCGTTCCAGAGCTTATATGACTGTTAACTCAGAGCTCATTTTGGAGACTCTGCTCCACAGAAATGTGTTAAAAGCTTTAGTTTCGATTCACAGCTGATTCACCGCTAAAAGCTTAATTTTATATTATTAACGAACCATAAGCATAAGTTAAACCACACAAACCACGACATTTCTTCTATTTCGAAGTCCCCACAGACTTCTCCGTTAAAGTTAACCTTGCATTCTCTAAAAAGTAGCAGGTGGTGGTCGCGAAGATGACTCGTAAGGTTTGATGTGTTTCCCCCTTTCGCCCAGGCTCTTTCGGCCTGTTCTGCAGACAGGGGGGTCATCTGCAGACAGGGTGGTCATCTTCAATTAACTTGCCTTCTGCATCCTTATAAAACCCAAAACATGACCAAACGTCAGACTTGGTCTTCATAGAAGGCTGAAATATCTCCGAATCTGTCACTACATTCCGCCATGTTCTCTCTTCTCTCCCTCTCCCCCGCCCCCGCCTTCCCCTCTACACACGCGCACACACACAGAGCTGCGTCTGAGAGATGATTCTGCCTTTGTTTGACTCTGTAAAGCGAGTTTTTCACACCGCGGTAATCGACCGCGATTTTAACGATACTTTAAAGTTCAAACGGTACTACTAACCGTCATTAATTTTACCGCGGTTTACCGTGAAACCGGTTACCGTTTTATCTCTATTACGCAGAAATGTGGAAAAATTGGTGTAATTCATCTGTAACTGACGTTAAAGGTTAAGAATGCATTTTTTTCTCTCTTACAATATACCATTTCTAAGATACAAGATTTTGTTAGCCACAATATACATAAACACACATACGCAAAAGTTCAAACTTTCCTCGAAGTATGTCAAATTGGCCACTCACCCTGTGCAATGAACCTGGGCTAAAACGTCTCTCTCTGAGCATTAAAGGGCCCTCAGGCTGCGTGTAGAGCAGCTAATGGCCCTTAAGCCTGCTCCACATAGACCCAGCAGCGGTGGAGTCCTGGCTAATCCCGTGCCAGGAGAAAAAGCCGCAGCTCCGCCTGGTCTCGGAAGCACAAAACCACCACTCAAACAGCCTCAATTAGCAGCGCCTCATCAAGCAGGCCTTTCATCTTCCCAAAGAGTGTCGGACTATCTGTGTGTGCGTGCGTGTTAGAGTGCCTTACTGCCATTCTGAGGGTTATTATTAGAGCAAAGCCCTCTGTTCCCCCTACTCTCGCTCGTGCTGTGTCTTCAAAGCAACCATGTTCAGGCCAGCAAGTACCTCAGCGGGGGCACATGAAAGCCCCCGCTAGTCTCTGTGGGCCAGGAGAGCTGCTGCCAAGGGTTTTTATGTGTTTCTCAGGCTGCGAGCAGTGCTTTTAGAACAAACAAAACGGCAGCATGCTCCAGACAGGCAGGGTGGGCAGCTTTGAAAAGTGCAGAGCGCCAAGTTCTGGCATGGGCATGTGCATGAGACCTCAGGTGCTGTTCTGTCTGTTTAATGCCTCCTGAGCTGGGCTTATTCTGAAAGAGAACCTGAAAAAAAGACTACATGGCTCAGTTTTATGAGTTCACTTGATATTAAAGCTTGAAAACAGCATCGTAGCAATAAAGCCTAACTCCTCAGC